ATAGTATTACCTTCTTACTAGGCTGCATTACTTGGGAACTGAACATCTCCTCCAACTCTTGCTTCTCCTCAGTCGTTTTTGCTCTCAGCTTATGGACACTTATCGTATTTGAAATGTGAGCTTTGACATTCTTAATAAGAACATCCAAAAAGAAACTTGTACCTTCATGTATTATCTTATTCCGAGTTTTCCAAATTTCCCCTAGTAGAAAGATCGGGACTACCATTTGGATAGTCCGCTTTGCCGATGAATAGCTCCCTACTGTATGCCAATCTTGTATATTACTCTGCCAACCTGTATGGTTAGTAGAATAAATACCTAAAGATGATGCAAAGATAGACCAAGCCGGCTTAACTTTAACACATGCAAAGAAAGTATGATCAATAGTTTCTTCCTCCTCTTGGCATATTACACATCTTGATGGTCTTGAGAGCATTCCCATTTTCTGAAAAATTTCAGGAAAAGGTAACAGATTATTAAAAAGCTTTCAAATGAAAAAAGAGATTTTTAAATGCACTACTTTATTCCAAATATTTTTAAGAAAAGGAAATTCTTCTCTGTTTGCTCTTAATTCAGAATAGGCTAAGGCGATGGTGAAATTCCCCAATAGATTTGGCTTCCACACAAGACGATCTGGCTCCTCATTAAAAGTCATCTCCATTGTCTTCAATTGCTCCGCTAGTTGAGGATTGATAGAAACCTCCAATTCCTGCAATAAAAAAGACTTTGAAACAAAAAAATTCTTTCACCGTTAGATTAGGCAATGGAGGCATGATCATTTCTTGCCAAATGGCTCCGGATACCAGCCATGGATCAAACCAGAAAGATGATGAGCCATCATTGATTATTTTGAAGCTTCTCTCAGCCACTTTTGGATCAACCTTTTGACCCTTCTCCAACTTGTCTTCTCCTTAGCCGTTTGAGACAAAGATAAAACAAATCTTGACCATACTCCTTGCTGAACTTGAATCTTCCACCACAACTTCGTTGAGAAAGCATTAAGTGTATCTTCTAGTCTCTGAATCCTTGGCCATTTTCTGCCACCGAATAGGTAAGTCTACTCCAAGCTCTCCAATGTTTCTTGCTTCCAAATTCAACATCACCCCAGAGGAAAGATTGACATTTACACTCAAGAAGTTCCAATACTGATTTTGGTGGTGATATGGCTGCAATTGTATGAATAGGGATAGCTGATAATACATGCTTAATCAATACCATTCTTCCTCCCACCGACAACATCTTATTCTTCCAATTTCCGATCTTAGCATCAAAAGCATCCAAGAGATGTTGAAAATATTCACCTTTCTTCCTTCCCTTAAAAAGATAACATCCCAAATATTTAAAAGGGAGACTTCCTTACGGCATTTGTAGTGTTTGAGCAACTAAAGCAATATGATCCTCACTACTCTTGTCCGATACCAAATACATGCTCTTCTTTTTATTCATCTTTTGTCCAGTTACTACCTCGTAATCATAAAGGAAATCATTGAGCCTTTGCATAGAATTTCTAAGACCCTTTGTGAATATAATCAAATCATCGGCAAAGCAGAGGTGCAAGACCTTCATCCGGCTGGCACTCCATACCATTCAATGTCCCCTTTTTCAGCAAGTCTTCTCATACTGCGAGAGAAAGCTTCCGACATAAGTATAAACAAATAAGGCGATATTGGATCCCCTTGTTTTATCCCCCTGGAAGCTTGAAAATAACCAGCTGGACTTCCATTTATAAGAATCGAGAACCAACTTCTCCTGAGATTAGATAGCACCAATTCCACAAAATGATCATGAAAACCAAATTTCAGCATTATTCTCTTCATAAAATCCCACGAAACTCTGTCAAACGCCTTCATCATATCTACTTTCAAAATCAAATTACCTCCTCTTGCTAGATGATCAAGAAATTGTATAAGGTCTTGTGTCAAGAGAACGTTGTCAACTATATCCCTCGCAAAAATGCAGATTGTTCCTCTGAGATAAGCTTGTGAATCACTAGCTTCAATCTTTCGGTGAGTAGCTTTGTAATGATTTTGTTGATAAAATTGCATAAACTTATTGGCCTGAAGTCCGCCAATGATGTAGCCATTTGTTTCTTCGGGATCAAAGTGATAACGGTGCTACAAATTGCACGAGGAAGGGGAACTCCCAACATGAATTCATTGCAAGCCTTTTCAAGATCGTCGCCAATTATATTCCAGCAACTTCTATAAAACTCGCCTCCAAAACCATCAATACCAGGGGCACTTGAAGGATCCAAACCAAATACCTGATAATGGTTTATTTGTTACATAAAAGCATCACAATTAACTCTGAATTTAGTGAGAAATTGGGGGATATTTTCTATTATTAGTGCATTCTACTTAACTAGTTTTCATGTTTTTGTTAGGAAGGGGTTTGACTGCAAAATTGCTGAAAAGTTGAGGCCAAGGGAATAAATTGTGGGCTGCTGAGGCAATGCTGCTGAGCTGGACGAGGAAGCACCTCCTTAGACAGGAAGCATCTTGCCATTAATGAGCATGTCTCCTCCAAGAGGCATGCTTGTCCCCCAGCCAAAATTTCAGCCTCCCCAACTGATCAATGAGAGCAATGCTGCCACTTCTGGAAGAAGAGAAGAAGAACAACCAAGTTTGGATTTCAGGCTCAAGGCATTGGGAGGATTAAACAATTACAAGCATGGGGAGGCCCTCATGATGAAGGAACCGGCTGCAAGACCCTATAAAAGAGGGAACTGCACTCTCAGAAGGGGGATCTCAATCTCTGGTTACCCTTTCAGTTGCCACAAAAACACACAGAAAAACTCCAGGTAGAAGGCAAGAAGGAAGAAGAAACAACAGCAACTCAGTAAGGAAGCCAAGTGGAGAGTAGCCATCCCAGTTTCTGCTTTAGTTCCATGAGTGAACCCTTTCACTCCCAGGAGTGGCTCAGAAACTGCACAAGCTTTTTTCTCGTCTCTTGACTGTTAGCTTGAACTTTGTTTATTATGCATACTTCTATGATGTCTTTTGATGTAGTAGATGTAGCATTAATCTATATGAGTAGCTAAACAGTTTCCAGGGGTTATTCTCCTCAACTTATGTTGTAGCTGCAATGCACTGGTTTTGTTCCTTGTTTTAAGGTTGAAAGTTTTTCTACATTCATTTACTTGATCACTAAATTGAATGCATGCTAGAACTAAGGGAGATCTGGAAAGATAAACTTGGTTTGGATTGTTTCAACCTTAACTTATGACATAGAGGTAACAGTCTATGGTTTTAACTGAGATAGGAATATACTTAGTTAACATAAGCATTCTTGAAGGCCTAAGAACTTAATGACTTTGTATCTGGAATCAATCATTGGAAAATAGATTGTTAAGTTTGCAAAGATGACTCTAGGAAAAATGGGAACTGACTTAGAGTTATAAGTGAGCTGAATGAACAAGAACTCAACCATTACAGTGCTAATAAACAACTACAATAGTAAGAAGAGGAGAAGAACACCCCTGGGCTTCATTCCCCTGAGTGACTGTTTCTATTCCCCTGAGTGACACCTTGTCTGACTGGTAGTTTTTGTTTTTACAACAATTTTGGTAATCAGCTGTCCTCGTGGGATCGACCTAGCTTCCATTATCTACAAAAATCATAATCCAAGCTAGTAATATTTTTGGTGAACTCGGCACGCACCAATACCACTTGCTTAATCTCCTCCCTTGATAGCTGTGCCACTAATATTCCATTGTCGGCTTCAGTTAGAAGTTTTGGAATATGCTCTAACATTCGATCACAAGCCTCATCATGATCCGCTACAAGTTCTTCAGACAATAAATTCTGAAAATAGCAAACCGCTTCTTGCTCTATATCTTCCCGTTTGGTGATCCATGTTCCGTCTCCTTTTCTAATTTTATGTATGCCTTGCCTTGCCTTTCGTTCAATCAAAGAAGCATGGAAAAAGGCAGAATTGACATCACCATCCTTTAGCCATTTCAGTCGTGATTTCTGTTGCAAGAAGTCCTCATGCTCGCACAATTTTCTGAGGAAGTGTGCTCTTGATAAATTTAGTTCTATTCTGTCAGCATCACTTCCTGTTTGATCATGCATTAACTCCTTTTGCTGAACGGTATCCTCGGCTTTCTTTAAATTTTGAAAAACATCACCAAAATCGGATTTGTTCCATTCTTTCAATCGAGCCTTCAGCCTTCTTACCTTTAATGAGGAGGCTAACATTCCAAATTGATCAAGAGGTTGATCCCAGCTTTCTTTTACTACTGCCTGAAATGTTTCCCGTCGCAACCACATTTTTTGAAACTGAAAAAGCGTTGGCCGTGTTTCGACGTCACATTTGAACTGGTGAAGAAGAGGCGCGTGATCCGACATAGTCCGACTTAGATGCTGAACTGAGGAAGACTCAAAGAGTGTTATGCATGCTGAATTAAAAAGGATTCTGTCAAGCTTTTTCAGCACTAATCCATTCTGCCTTTGTCCTTCCCACGTGAAGGGGTTACCCGAAGGAGTCAATTCTGAAAGATTGCAATCATTAATCCATGAGTTAAAGTCTTCGATGGCTTCTCTATCAGGATTGGAATTCCCTTTATGTTCTTCAAGGCTATGGATTACGTTGAAATCCCCTGCAATCAACCATGCTTTCGCACCATTTTGCTGATGAAACACTGATAATTCTGACCACAATTCCCTTCGAGCTGTTTTTGACGACTTAGCATAAACTGCTGATAAGAACACCGGCATAGAAATACACGAATTTTGCAGCTCCATATGCATTACCTGCTCTGATCCCCCTAGAAATCTAACTGACCATAAAATTGAGCTGAATATCCAGATTTTACTTGTCACCGATGCAAAAACCGAAGAGAAATTAAGCTGATTTTTTTATTTCTTCCATCCGAGAAGCTGGCAGTAAAGTCTCTAATATCACAACCAAAGAAATGGAATGCTGTTTAATTAAATTTTTGAGGCGCCTACAAGAGGCTTTATCTCCTATTCCACGAATATTCCATATGAGATACCTATTCATTGAGAAATTTTGGAAGAGAGATCACCGTTGAGCCCTGCCCAAGAACGAGTTTTGGAGCTAACTTGCTTTACTGATTTCGTTGAGCCCTTAGGACGTCCTGGTTTTTTCTTTTTCTCCTCACCATCCAAAACAACCAGTCTAGCATCCTCCATTTCTGGAACAGTAGTTAGCTTGACGATCGCCATATCATTCACAGCTGAAGTCTCGACTGTTTTTCCATATGTGTCACGTTGGAGTTCTGAGTAAGCTTCTTCAGTATCTGAATGCGATCCATCCGAATCATGATTAATTTGCTGTTCATCCTGATTTTCTTCCATCTCTGAAAACTCATCATCTTCGAGCAATTCTGACAGAACTTGGAATCGATCAGAAAGTTTAATTGTTTTTTCCGGATCCTGATAAAGTACAAGCTCCTGCTCCCGATTTTCCTTATTAATTAGCACTTCTTCTTCCCAAGGATCAGCGAGATTTTCCTCCATTTTATTCTTCTCCAGCACTATATTTAACTGTTCCTTAGTGAACCTTCTTTTAGCCGAAGAATTCTGTTGCTGCGGAGAGACAGTACTTGGTATGTCCATTGGAATGTGCTCCTTTTCTTTCTCCGTTAGCCCTGATGTTGAAGCACCTTTCTCCTTTTCGATTTCTTCCTGATTTTGGTTTTGCACCGGTTTTTGTTTCCACGCAGGTGCTACAATTTGAGCCTGAGGACAATATGATTACTTAAACATTTGTTTCATATATAATAATAAACTCGTTTGATTTATTAAAAATTCTATTACCTCATTTGAAGAAGTGCTAAGTGTGAAAGATTTTGGCCATATACCAGGTTTTGTTACGAAAAAGAAAGCATATCCTCTTGTTACTTTGATGTACAAAGAAATAACGAAGAGTTCATGAAGCTCGGAAGTTCTTTGATCGACTTATTGGTGAAGGAGTAGTTCCCCACACATTCGCCTAGAATTGTCTGATTCATGGATATTTCTCCTTGCATAAATCCAATGAGGCGATGACCATGTTTCATGAGATGCCACCAAATAGTACCCATCTTGTTAGCACTTTTAACGTTGTTCTTCCAGGGCTGATTCAGTGCAAATTATTCGTTAAAGCAGAGGAAGTTGTTGAGCATATTAAAATCCTAGGCTTGAAACCAAATTTTCATGCATATTGTATTTATCTGCATGATTATTAGCAAGTTAGAAAATTGGACAAATCTTCGGACTTAATGACTGAGTGGGAAAATATGAATGGTGTCAATGGAACTTTAGAGATGCACAATATTGTTATTGAAGTGTTATTTCAAAGTGGGAGATCTAATGAAGCGATGGGTGCTTTTAAGGGTTTAGCTTCCAATGGATTAGAACCTGATATGGTTACTTTTAATATTGTTATTCCTCATATGTGCCGGCTTGATTTGCTAGATGAAGTTAGAAGTAATCCCAAGGAAATGGCACAAAAAAGTTTATAAGCCCGGCTATGTTATTTTGAACTCCGTTTTGGAGGTAGTTAATGATATGGAGAGACCTGCTTCTATGGATTTCGTGAATAGTTTGGGGTTTTCTATCAATGACACAAGGATGACATCTAAATTTTTTTATTTATTTTTTTGTGAATGCCTTCTCACAATGTTGGGTCTACTAGTCCAAGGGCATATTGGCAGAATATGTAGAAGCCTTTTTTTTTTTAAAAAAAAAATTATATCAAAATACTAAAAATTTCTAGCAATAATAATTAAAAAAAAAAACTCATCTGAAGAAGTTGCATACCCATTCTTATGAGATGATGGGAAATAACGAAAACGATTGAAAAATAAGAATATAGGTGTACTTACCTATGTTCTTTTGTCTCTATATGTTTTATTTCAATTTTTTGACAAACCCTTGATGCTTTTCCTTGTATTGTAGCCATCATAATTTTTCTGGATTTTGGTTTCTTTTCAATAAAATGCAGTTAATTCTAGTATTCAATACAACATTCATATTGGCGATGAAGTATTGGGCAAAGATCGTGCCCTATTTGGGCAAAATCATTATAGGTGTACAAGAGTTTTATCGCTAGTGCTACGTATCTTTTGAAAGAGTAAATTCTTCATAGTAACATAATTTTGTTGAACTTAAAAAATATATGATAATCGGGATAAAAGAAAAAAAGGGAATTAAAAGTATGAAGAAAACAAAGTAAGAGGGAGAGAGTTGGGAACAATATTTGGATGGAAAAGAAGGGTCGCTCTTTAGTTGGGACAATACAATTGCATGAGTGTTTCATTTATAATAATAAACTTGGTAGATTTATTGAGAATTCCATTAACTTATTGAAGAGGTTACATACCCATTATTTTGAAATAATTGGAAAGAAAAAGCTAGAAAAAGAAGAAGATTGTTAGTCTTACCTTTGTGCTTTGGTCTGTACATGTTTTATTTTAATGTTTGATGACTCATTGACGGTTTTCCTTGTATTAGAGCAATTACAATCTTTTTGGTTTATTGCTTCTTTGCATCAAAACGCAGTTATTGCTAATCTTCAAAACAACTTGCATATCCCCTATGAAGTATTTGGCAAAGATCGTGCTTTATTAGATCAAGGTTAATTATTAAACTGATGTGTATAAAAGCTTTATTTTGGTGCTAATTAACTTTTGAAAGATTACATTCTTCATAGTAATGTACTTTTGTTAAATTTAAGACATGTATGATAATCTGAATTAAATAAAAAGAAGGGAAATTAAAAGTAGAGAGAAAACAAAGAGGCAGAGAGGTTCATGCCAAAACCAGTGCTGTTATATATGTGAGTTTGTAAGGTCCGCCGGTGGCCGAGGAAATTGTTGACGCGTGGTATGCTTGCGCAGCCACGTTGGTGTAGCAGGATTAGAATTAAACTGGCTGCCAACTTTGGCCTAGTTTTCCATATCAGAGCGGCATCCTGGCGACCTGAGCAGTATCCCAACTGCCGGAGCGGTTTTTTTTGGTGTAATGCGCTCCCACAGCCACGTTTTTTTTCTTGGTAGCGTTGACTTTTTCAAACCCCTCCATTGTGTTTGAATTTTTGGGCCAAATGAGAGGATTGATGTTATTAGGTCGTTTGACCTATCCCTATAAATAAAGAAAGAGGTAAAGCAGCAGCTCACCTTGGGCATTTTTTTTCTACGGCGCTTGGTTTGTCAATTCGCTCCACAGCTTTGCTCCTATTCCAAAGGCATTTTCGATTTAAGATCCTTCATCCTCTGAAGGATGGACAACTCCGAGACTGTGTTGATTGATGCCAAGCAGTATTTTATTGGCAACCTCTCACTCTATTGCCGCTGGAGAGTCCATTGGTCAGAGTGCCGAGCATCTCTAGCACTTGTCAAATCTTGTTGCTAAAGCCAAGGAAGCTGTAGATACGGCAAAATTTGAAGCTGTCCATTACAAGGTTGAACACAATTACTTTAAAGAGTACTACAAAGTTCAAGCGAAGAACCTGAGACTCCTGCAGAGCAGGCTTGACAAGGTTGAAAAGTCTGAAACTCCTGCAGATGGCAATCTCTAGATCCCGGAAGAACGGTTCTAAATACAGATGGCTCTGCGCTAGGACAACCAGGTGAACGAGGATGGGGTTTTGTAATACGTGGCCACAAGGGAGCTTTGGTACAAGCGGAATGCAAGCATATGGGGGTAGCTACTAGTTTGGAAGCAGAACTAAGTGGCATCCTCTATGGATTATAAGCATGCACATAAAGAAGCTTAAGCCAAGTAACCGTTCAAACGGAGCAAGGCAATTATTAATATCCTGAGCAATTAACAAAATTTTAATTCACGATACCACTCAGTTTTCAAAGAAATTCAGGGAAAGCTTATCACTTCCAATTCAAAAATCGTCCATATCTTCAGGGAAGTAAACGCAATGGCAGATGAGTTAGCCAAAAGAGCTGTGAAGGGAGAGATCAAGCAATATCTACATCAAAATGACCTCCCAGCCACACTGAGAGGTAAATGGTAGCTCGATAAATGCTTTTTCCCTTATTTAAGGGTTAAATAACATTTGCGAGTCAATCCGATTTTTCATAGTGATTTGACAGGACCCTAAATTAGCTTAGGTAAATATAAGTTCCTAATAGAGGAAAGGAAGTGTCATGGTGTTAATTTTTCAAACCTTTGTGAGACACTCTCTTAGTTTATTTTTTCTTTCTACATTTAAAAGAGATGTCATGTGATTATAGTCAAATCTTTGTAAGGCATCATCTTAGTTGCTAAAATTTAGAGCTGTCATGAGATTTTAGAAAATTTTTGTACGACAGACTCTCTTTCTTTAGGTAAGTCTTAAACACTATCTATGTACTTTTCTTTTTTATTAATAAAATTGGGAGAATACCCGCCTGGTACCGTCCTGGTTCATTAAAAAAAAGGTTGAAAAGTCTGAAAGTGACCTTCGTGAGAAGGTGAGGGGCAGTAGGGAATACCTTCGACAAAAGTTTGCTATCACAAGGTTGGGCAGGAGGCCCAACCTCTACCCTGAACCCGAAGACCCATACCCACTCTCCTCTTCTTCCTCTTCTGAGGGTACTAGCATGGGCGGTGGCGGCCCTTCGAGCGGCGCCATTGAGAGCAGTGTTTAATTAGTTTTATAACTTGAACATATGAGATTTTCAGTACTGATGATATTATTTAAGGAGTGCTTAATTAGTTTTATGACTTTTGACATGACATATGAGAAAATATGAGATATTTCCATGAGTTCGGTGCTAAGGATATTATTTAAGAAGTATTATGACTTGGATATGAGATATGACGAGATATGCTTAATGCTTACAAAAAAAAAAAAAAAAAGAAAAAGTAAGAGGCAGGGAGTGTTGGAGTTACCTATGACCAAACATGGTGGCATTGACAAACTATGGTGCATCTCTAATAATGTTTAGAATTTGAAAATCAATGTATAAAATCATTTCGAAAAAAATACTCTTGCTATTTCCTCTGTAAGAGGATTGAAATTTGAAAATTTTAGAATCTTGTAGCATAACGTACCACATTGCAAGCCCTTTTATTATTTAAAGTGCACAATCAAGCTTGGGCTCCACCAAAATATTTTTTTCCATAAAATTTTGTAGAATGGCTTATTTTTCTTCTAGTTGTTTTTACTTTCAATTTATTTATTCTTTTTTTTTTTTAACTTAAAAAAATTGATAGTTTCCATATGGATGGGGGAATTAGGATAGACTCTAAATCCTTAAAATTTAATAAGAACTTTTATAAGAGGCGAAAAAAATAGAGTGAAAATCACAATAATAAAATAAGTAATATAATCCTTAAAAAATAAGTACTTTAATAAAATCGGGGTCCTCCTGTCAGGTACTGCCCTAGTTTTTCATTAAATAATAATAATAATAATAATAATAATAATAATAATAATAATAATAATAATAATAATAATAAGTACTTTGATGAAAATCATGTACCCTCTCATCCAAATTCTCCATGTAAGGGGAATGTGAAGTTTGTTCTATCCTATGTTGGTCTAAACAACTATTCATTCGAAAAATGAAAAACTTTCTGTGTAAACTGATAAAAGAGGAGAAGATAGATATTGTTACCTATGTGATAGGGAGTTGATTCAAAGTAAGGAAAGCTATCATCAAGTGGATAAGCATGTCATTAACTTTGGTCAAACTAAGGGAGATCATGAAATTATAGAAATAAGTGCGATTGAATTTGAATTATACATATAATTCAAATTCCTAGCTAAGATGAATCTTGTTGATCGAGTTAGCCTTTGAAGAAGTCATTTAGATTTTTGAGTGGATGGCCTATTTGATAAGAGATCGTGGTTGAGTCCATTGCTACAAAACTTGAGATAGTGTGCAAACTAACTTTGATTATTCTTTTGAGAGATGGCCACTTTTTGGTCATTGAAGTCAAGGATTGGATTCAAAGTGTTAGTCTTATTCTCTGTCCATGTCACAAGTATTAAAGTGAAGATCGAGTCTACTCCATCTGTAGGGGCTTGCGAGCGATTCTTTGGAAGAAGGGTGTCTTTGACTTTTTACATTTTTAATATTTGGAGTTATTTTAGTTAAAAGTTTTAATCTTTTACCTAGGTTTATTTTCGAGTAAACGCAAGTGTGAAAAGAGCCGTCTAGGCTGAAAATACGGGTGATAGATTTTAGGGGTCTCTTTGTTTAGTTTTGATCCTTTTCCTTCTCAAAAAGTTAACATCGTGGTAGAATATCTTTATATGGTGTTCCAGCAAGATCTCATAATTTTCACAAAGGGTTTGAAGAATTCAATAGAACAACTAACCTTTCTTTTCAACATTATGAAGAAGCAAAAGGTCAAAGAATGAATAAACAAAAAGTTTCTTTGTAACATCAAGCAAAAGTTCCATAGATCACATCAATATGATCTCTTAGACTCTTCAAATGCCAAGGGGTGAATTTTCTTTCATTTACTTAGGTTGCAAGCTCTTTAAATAAAGGAAAACGGCAGATTACTTTCATCACATTTTAGACGCTTTTGATTCTCAGTTGCAAAGTTGGAAAAATAAATATTTATGAACAGGATGCTGGATATTTTTAATCAAGCATGTCCTATCTACTATTCCTTTGCATACCTTTGCAACAATAGGACCAACCGAGTCTATCATAACATGATAGAAAAGAAAACGTCATAATTTTTTTTTTTTTGGGAGAAGGTGAAAATGGATATATAAAAAGCATTGGAGAGCTTTGCAAAAACTCACTTTCCCAACGGCTGAGAATGGATTGGACATTCAGAAATTCAATGAAGCTATAGATACTTGAGCCTCAATTGCTAAGAGGCTCACTTTCTCAATAGTTAAGGAGGCAAACCGAGACCTGTCTCAATTGCTTTCAAATCAGTTAGATAAACCTATGGTAAGTTTTGAGAAAATTGATGAAAATTTAAAAGTCTTATGTGATCGTA